GGGGGTTCGAATGTACCAGCAGTCAAATGTCGAAGTGTCCCTGGGCAAGACACTGAACCCCTCATAGCCTCTGATGTGTGTCCCATCGGTGTATGAATGTGATAAAGCTCTGATTAGTCTCTTAAGAAAGATTTGTTCAATGAGCTTTGTAGAGATCTAGTAGAGTGCTGTATGAATGGGTAAATGAGGACACATAATGTAGTGTAAAGTGCTTTGAGTATCTTGAAATAAGATAGAAAAGCGCTATATAAGTACAGTCCATTTACCATTTACTCACTGCACGACTCTGCGTCAAAGAAAGGCAGTGGCGTCGTCCAGCGCGTAGCATCCCGCCACAGAAAAACACTCAGCAAAACGTCTGTCAGGGTAAGGAATAGCTCACATGGACAGCAGGAGATCGGCGTGGCAGAGACCCAGGCATCCTTCGCAAAAGTTGTGCCGGTCAAAGCTGGACATCTTTTCCTTCTTCGTTCTTTTGACAATGCTGGCTGAAGAAAAAATGGGAGCCGATTACCCGGTCTCACCGTAATTCATACGGATCGGGGGTGGGGCCCACACAGCTGGTGGGAGCGGACTAAAGTTCTCAGTGCTGTGCGCAAAGGGATAAACCCTCTAGCGATAGTCTTAAAGGGCGAAACCTATACGAAATAGAACTGGAGAGATATGATCTCTCCTACTAACTCATAATAATTTAATGAGAACTGAAAGCAGGGCAGGGCATTTAAGAGTTTTTCTACCAGCTGCTTTGTGGTTTGTTCAACATGTTTTGTTATTAAGCAAGTTGAGCATCATGAGTTAGTCTGCGTTGAAATGATAATTCATTTTTTCTAAGCACATTATGTGCGGACATGTTCCGCCAATGCAAGTGATGAGACTTCAAATCCACCAGCAGTCACATGCCGAAGTGTCCATGGGTGTAGTGAACTAGGCCTCCGACCAAAACCTGCCTCTGAAGACCTGTTGTTTCATTGATTTGAATCCAAAAATACAAATTAGCTCATCCAGAGACTGTCTAATTGTATCCTGAAGTAATAAATTGAAAGAACACTCTTCTTTTATATTATCATTACTATTTTACAATATCTTGATAATCAAAGTGTGTTTAGTTCATATCATTTCTAAAGTTGAAGTGAACACTCATTTTAAATCAACTGTGAAACAGTATTAATGATTTTTTTAATCCCCATTTAAATTAGAAATCAAGTTAAATGTCTATTTACAAAGTAATTATGCATTTTGATTTTCTGTCTAAAGGAGAAGTAGTGATGTCGGTCAAAAGTCAGAGACAGTCAGAAAGAAGTTATTAGAACAGGCTGTATTGTTTTTAAACCTAGCAGACGGTAAAAAAGAAGCAACTGGCACCTGCTTCCTCTCACTCCTTCAAAACATTTCTCTGTCTGTACTAAACGTTCCTAAACATTCCTGCTGTCTTTTTGACTTTTAATAACCCTTTGACATCACTGAAACACACCCCCTGTTGTTTGTTTCAACCAATCAGGAAGTCCTGAGTGACGGGAAGTGAGAACTCTTTAAATGTCCACACTTCCTAGAACTACTCAGTTGACTGGGTCTTCTGGAGTCTACTCCGTTCTTCTGAAGTCTTGGATCTGAGTTGAACTCAGTCTTTGATGGTGTCTTCTCAAGCCTTGTGGAGTCTTCCACTCCTGAATGGGATCTCTGACGGACTCACAGATGCTTGCTGTGGATCCACCCGGGTGTAATGCCTCCAACTTCGAAGGGAGCTGAGCCTGTTTGTTGAACGGAGTAAATCGACACGACTTCTGACGATGGCCAGCCGCTCTTACCGGAGACGTTGGAAGGTAGCGTTGAAATGGACCCGACACCGAAGCTGATTTATCTCCTGCGAAGGTAATGAGTCGTGACGCGCTAAGTGTACCGGAGGTTTGAGCTGGTGATTGAAAGAAGCGTGCCCTCCTGGTCAACAACATACTCATCACCCATCCTTCCTTTCAACTCTTCTATTTTGTCAGTAATCTAGATGCCTTCAGAAATGTCTTGTTGTCTTAGTAGTAAAGCGTGCCAAGTTTTATTAATCAGAACCCGATCAGCTAATAACGTGTACATGTTTTGATTTTAAATTTTGATTCTGTTAAATAAACGACCACATTTATTCTGATGGGTCAAAGTTAAATTAATGTCTCTTGTCACTGATTAAACAATCCTCACAGTTACGTCGTCACATGGCATTAATTTAACTAAAAAAAGACAGAACCTGTTATATTTAAATAATTAGTAGTGAAGGTACAGTTAAGCTGTCCCCCACCATTTCACTACATTTGGTGGGACCGTACGTGTTTTAAATAACACATTTGGTGGGACCGTATGTCCACAGCAAAGCTGTCCTTGACACACTACAATGGGCAAGACACTGAACCCCTCATAGCCTCCGATGTGTGTCCCATCGGTGTATGAATGTGATAAAGCACTGATTAGTCTCATTAGAATGATTTGTTCAATTAGCTTTGCAGAGATCTAGTAGAGTGCTGTATGAATGGGTAAATGAGGATATAGATTGTGTAAAGTGCTTTGAGAAGCTTGATTAGATAGAAAGGCACTGTATACAAACCGGATTCCAAAAAAGTTGGGACACTAAACAAATTGTGAATAAAAACTGAATGCAATGATGTGGAGATGGCAAATGTCAATATTTTATTTGTAATCTAACATAGATGACAGATCAAAAGTTTAATCTGAGTAAATGTAACATTTTAAAGGAAAAATATGTTGATTCAAAATTTCACAGTGTCAACAAATCCCAGAAAAGTTGGGACAAATAGCAATAAGTGGCTGGCAAAAGGAAATTGTGCATATAACGAACAGCTTGAAGACCAATTAACACTAATTAGGTCAATTGACAACATGATTGGGTATAAAAAGAGCTTCTCAAAGTGTCAGTGTCTCTCAGAAGCCAAGATGGTAAGAGGATCACCAATTCCACAATTGTTGCGCAGAAAGATAGTGCAGCAATACCAGAATGGTGTTACCCAGCGTAAAATAGCAAAGACTTTTAAGTTATCATCATCAACCATGCATAACATCATCAAAAGATTTAGAGAATCTCGAACAATTGCTGTGAGTAAGGGTCAAGGCAGTTCAACTCTACTGGATGCTCGTGATCTCCAGGCCCTTAACGTCACTGCACCTCAAACAGGAATGCCACTGTCAAGGAAATAACAGAATGGGCTCAGGAATACTTCCAGATAGCATTGTCAGTGAACACAATCCACCGTGCCATCTGCCGTTGCCAGCTGCAACTCTACAGTGAAAAGAGGAAGCCATTTCTAAGCAAGCTCTACAAGCTCAGATGTTTGCACTGGGCCAGGGTCATTGAAAATGGAGTGGGACAAAATGGAAGATTGTTCTGTGGTCATATGAGTCAGCGGAGTTCTTTATGGAACACTGGGACGCCATGTCATTTGGACCAGAGAGGACAAGGATAGCCCAAGTTGTTATCAACACTCTGTTCAGAAGCCTGCATCACTGATGGTATGGGGTTGCATGAGCGCTTGTGGCATGGGCAGTTTGCATGTCTGAAAAGGCACCATTAATGCAGAGAACTATGTTCAGGTTCTAGAACAACATATGCTCTCATCTAGACATCATCTCTTTCAGGGAAGACCCTGCATTTTTCAACACGATAATGCCAGACCACATTCTGCAGCAATCACAACATCATGGCTACGTAGGAGAAGGATCCGGGTACTGAAATGGCTAGCCTGCAGTCCAGATCTTTCACCTGTAGAGAACATTTGGCACATCATAAAGAGGAAGGTGCGACAAAGAAGGCCCAAGACGATTGAACAGTTAGAGGCCTGTATTAGACATGAATGGGAGAGCATTCCTATTTCTAAACTTGAGAAACTGGTCTCCTCTGTCCCCAGACGTCTGTTGAGTGTTGTAAGAAGAAGGGGGGATGCCACACAGTGGTAAAAATGGACTTGTCCCAACTTTTTTGGGGTTTGTTGACGCCATGAAATTTGGAAACAACAGATTTTTCCCTTAAAATGATGCATTCTCTCAGTTTAAACTTTTGATCTGTGATTTGTGTTCTATTCTGATTAAAATATTAAATGTTGGCACCTCCACATCATTGCATTCAGTTTTTATTCACAATCTGTTTAGTGTCCCAACTTTTTTGGAATCCGGTTTGTAAGTACAGTCCATTTACCATTTACCATTTATTAAAAAAATTGAGGTTCATGTTTAAATTTAAGAGCTCGTTTGAGAACGAACTTTCCTCTTGTCCTTTGTGCAAGGCAGGAAAGATGCCCTCCTTTTGTAAGACAGTAACTAAATATATACCCAAAGTAAATTTGAATAGCTTACTTTTTACTTTATTTTTTTTACACATTTACTTTTGCTTGAGTACTACATTTGGGCGGCTGTGGCTGAGTGGTTAGAGCAGTCGTCCTCCAATGCGAGAGTTGGGGGTTCGAATCCAGCAGCAGTCACATGTCGAAGTGTCTCTGGGCAAGACACTGAACACCTCAAAGCCTCCGATGTGTGTCCCATCGGTGTATGAATGTGATAAAGCTCTGATTAGTCTCTTTAGAATTATTTGAAAATGAGGACACAGATTGTAGTGTAAAGTGCTTTGAGTATCTTGAAATAAGACAGAAAGGCACTATATAAGTACAGTCCATTTTACATTTTTGTACTCTCCACTTTTGTAAAATTTGACTTGATATGTATTAAAGAAAATGTACAACTAATTCAAACTTGCAAACCCAATTCTTGTACAAATCAATAACATTGTATGCTGTGCCATCACTCCACCCTGAAAAAAAAACCTCTCAAATATAATCCTTATTGTGATTATTAAATAATTAATGACATTGGGGAGTAGATACAAACTTCTGACCACAACTGTGTGTGTTTTTACAGTATGCTATAACTTTTAATGAACATGACAAATAATTGTATATTTTACGAACAACATGTAATTACCGTATAAAATCTGATGTAAATTATTTTTCCAGGCTTTACAATAATAACATCACAGATACTGGAGCCAAGCTGGTTGCTCAGATAATCGAAGAATGCCCCAAGCTGGAAGTTGTCAAGTATGCTGAGGACTTGTACAAAAATAAATTTATATATACAGTATATATATATGATAATGGAATTATAGCTATGTTGTGTTTGATGCTGTCAAAATTTATTTTCAGGATTGGTAAAAACAAGATTACAAGTGTTGGTGGAAGGTACTTGGCCAGTGCAATTCAGAAAAGTACTTCTATATTTGATGTGGGGTAAGTACAAACAAGAAGGTTGATTAGGATTTAATTAATGTTGGACAGCAATTTCAATTCAATTCAATTCAGTTTATTTATATAATGCCAATTCACAACAAAGTTGTCTCAGGGTACTTTACAGAAACATTCACATACATAGAAAAAACAATTAGTAAAGTTCTCTATCTAAGAAATGGTAAATGGACTGTACTTATATAGCGCCTTTCTATCTTATTTCAAGATACTCAAAGTGCTTTACACTACAATCTCTGCCTCATTTACCCATTCATACAGCACTCTACTAGATCACTACAAAGCTAATTGAACAAATCATTCTAAAGAGACTAATCAGTGCTTTAGATCACATTCCTACACTGATGGGACACACATCAGAGGCCTATGAGAGGTTCAGTGTCTTGCCCAGGGACACTTCGACATGTGACTGCTGGTGGATTCGAACCCCCAACTCTCACATTGGAGGACGACTGCTCTAACCACTCAGCCACAGCCAGCAGACTCGTTGAATCTTCACTTTGCTCAGGATGGTAGACTGCGACAAACACAATGGCAACAGTGGAAAGGAAAAACTCCCTTTTAAGGATGTTTTCACACCTGATAGTCTGGTAGACTCGGTTTGATTGGGGACCAATATCCAGAACATTTGTTTACATTTTCAGCTGGTGCGGTTCACAATCACACTGAAATGTTTCTGGTAATTTCCTTGAGACAACTTTGTTGTGATTTGGCGCTATAAATTATCTGAATTGAATTGAACTGTCAATCGAGCCAACCTGTCCCCTCCCATTCTGCTCCTGGAAACTCTTAGTCAAGTCAATTTAAAAGAGAGGCCTTCAGTGTTTGGATGTCCCTTAATTCCTATAGTTCACCTTTGTCTTCCAGGATGTGGGGGAACAGCATTGGTGATGAGGGAGCAGAAGCATTTGCTGAAGCTTTGAAGAACCACCCTAGGCTCACCAACCTCAGGTAGGAAAGCAAGGCAAATAAAACAAAACAAATTATTTTAAATAAACAAAATTTACTTCAATAAATTGTTCCTCTGTGCTCCAGTCTCTCAGCGAATGGCATCACATCAAAAGGAGGGAAGATCCTGGCAGAAGCACTGCTTCAGAACAGCGTCCTCAGGATATTCTGGTATGTAATGCACTTAGATTCAGCTAAAGATTGTTTTATACCAGAGGGCATAGTTTGTTTGAGTCATTCATTTCATTTATTTAACCAGATTAAAACCCCACTGAGATTAAGATTTCATTTGTAAAAATTCAGCAACAGACATCATAAAAAGTGTTATATAACTCACAAACAGGATAAAAGTGACAATCATTTGAACAATTTAAACACTCATAAAATGCTGAAACTAGAAGCAAAAATAACATTTGAAAACACTGGCACCGATTAATAGGCATATGCAGGACAAGCAACTGCTTAGGCCAGCGTGGAACCCTTGAGTGCACATTAGTTGTGTGTATTTGAAAGAAGATGTATTTAGTTTGATATTTATGTTAACAGAACTATAATTCAATACTACTAATGTATGCAAATGAGTCCCAGAGGCTCAATGGGATTAACCTGTCTAGGATGTCATGGTTGAATGAATTATCCAACAATTTTTAGTCAGGTCATCTGGAAAGTTTCTTTTTTTGCTGAAACTTTTCACCTTCCATCCAGAAGTCTTCATCAGTCAAGGAAACGCACAACACAAAACTGATTCTTCCCCCAAACAGCTTACTCCAAAGTGGAACAAACCAGTTATGTTGGTGCTAAGATGGTGTCTTTGGCACGCCCCCTCCTCTGGAGCCGGCCCTCATCCTCGTCGACAGTCATGTCAAACTGGTTCAAAACCAAAAAAAGTCCATGCTCAATAATCCAGGTATACAATCCAATATTTTTCAGTCAGGTCATCCAGACAGTTTCGTTTTTTGCTGAAACGTTTCACCTTCCATCCGGAAGGCTTCATCAGTCAAGGAAACACACAACACAAAATTTATTCTTCCCACAAACAGCTTACTCCAAAGTGGAACAAGCCAGTTATGTTGGTGCTAAGATGGTGTCTTTGGCACGCCCCCTCCTCTGGAGCCGGCCCTCTTCCTCGTCGACAGTCATGTCAAACTTGATTAATAATCACGTCTTGGATCTGCTTAATTTGTCTCTAATAAATGGTTACGTACCAGAGAGCTTTAAGATTGCTGTAATTAAACCAGTGCTTCTCAATTATTTTCTGTTATGCCCCCCAGGAAGAAATAAACATCCCCCTCCCCCCAACTCTCCACCGAGACTGTCTATAAGATTGTCACAAGTACACCTCTGCCTAACATTGTGTCCTTATTAACATTAAAGGAAAAAAAGAATATGGATCAACTTACAAGGAAGAATAATTTTATTGACATTGTTTTTTTATTCTGTAACAGAAACAACTTGAAGTGCATCAATTTGCCTGAAAAAAAAAAAATCATTTTTTTAAACTTTAAACATTTTGGACCATTTGATACTGAAAAATTAAATAAAATATAATCAATAAATAATAATAAATTCAGATTTATCAGCAACATTTTAACTCAGGATTGTTATATAAAACACTTTGACTTACAAAACAAAAATGAATAAAACAATTTATGCAGATTTTATTTTTTTTTATCAAAATGAGGAAGTCAGGATCAATGAGCACACTCATCGATAAAACACACAAAAAAAATTCCACATGAAAGAGGAAAGAGGGGGGCAGGTAACCCCCTCGCTTTGAGTTTATGCTTTGTCGCCTGCATGTTGTGGGTGACAAGCATCAAGAGTATAAAAAACAGCAGCTTAACTGAGGTGAATTAATTTTGTTAGCAAAGAATAGTCCTAACATTTATTAAACATTACTTCTGTAAATTGTGCTTTGACAAACTTATCGATAAAACTCAAACATTTTGTCAAAGCAATAGAGGAAAGAGGGGGCAGGTGTCACTCTCGCTTGAGTTTATTTATTGTTGCATGCGTGCTGTGAGTGACGTCCAGTGTGTATGGACATAAAAACAGCAGCGGATGACGGAGGAGGTGACGGTCTGAGTTTATTTATCGTGTCAGCAGCAGAGGGGAGAGACACAGTTCATGCATGGCTCCCAAAACCACAAGGCAGCCATAACTGTTCATAACTTATTAGGAACGCACGCGACACAATAAGAATGGTGAGGGGAAAAAAAAACTACTCCCTGCGGCAAAAAAAAGCATGTTTTCTAGGGTCACATGCCCCCCCCCCCCCCCCCCCCCCCCCCCCGGCATTGCCCCGGACCCCCCCACACTATTTGAGAAGGACTGAATTACACCTTTACTTAAGAAACATAACCTTGAATCAGGAATCCAAGCCAACTGTAGACCTATATCTAATCTAACTTTCATCTCAGAAATTCTAGAGAAAATAGTTGCTGGTCATCTGCAAATTAATAATCAGTTTGAAGAGTTTCAGTCAGGTTTTAGAGCTCACCACAGCACTGAATCTGCACTGGAGAAAGTTACCAATTATATTCTTATGGCCTCTGACAACGGACAGGTGTCTACACTAGGGGTTGAACGAGTATATAATTTTTAAACTTGACATTAACATAATTAAACCCGAGTAGAACTCGACTATTTGATGACGTCATAGATCTCAAGAACAAAAATAAATAAAACCGCAAAAAACGATAATTATTTACAAAAAAAAAAGACCAACAAAACATTGGGAGCGTATATTATGCTCCTACCATTTATCATACTGCAAATAAGTCACAGGAAAAACTAAACCATTAGTTATTATTATTAAACTGCAAACGTGAAGAAACACAGCACTTCAAAAACGAAACTTAAACCGAAACTGGTTCTGGTTCAGTGGATAGGACCCCGTGATACACCATACTCTGTGACCTGCAACAGTGCAACACCGCCCTCTACGGTCATACGGTGGTCACATAATATGACGTCACTACGGATACCCGACTTTACATTTTTAACATCGATAGATGTCCTAGCAATCGATGTGTAGATTACTCGAGTACTCTGTTAATGCCCTAGTCTACACAGGTCCTGTTAGACCTCAGTTTGTGGGAGTTCTGGCTTTGCCAGCCAACTTTCTCTCACCCACAGCTGCAGCAGGTTTCTAATCAATCACCAATCCACTCCTGAACCTGATTAGAGGGACGACTCTGGAGGAGCATAAAAGCCTCAGCCAGACACTTGGGCGGCTGTGGCTGAGTGGTTAGAGCAGTCGTCCTCCAATGCGAGAGTTGGGGGTTCGAATCCACCAGCACTCACATGTCGAAGTGTCCCTGGGCAAGACACTGAACCCCTCATAGCCTCTTATGTGTGTCCCATCAGTGTATGAATGTGATCTAAAGCACTGATTAGTCTCATTAGAATGATTTGTTCAATGAGCTTTGTAGAGATCTAGTAGAGTGCTGTATGAATGGGTAAATGAGGCACAGATTGTAATGTAAAGCGTTTTGAGTATCTTGAAATAAGATAGAAAGGTGCTATATAAGTACAGTCCATTTTACCATTTACCATTACACTCCTTCAGCGCCGGGACATTATCTTAGCAATGGTAATGTGATGGATGGCCTCTAGACTGCCTGCACACATTTTACTACTAAGACTTGTCTCTTGATCTCCCTACAGTTGACTTCTAGTCTTGGATTCCAGTTAGGGGTTGAACGACTACATAATTTTTAAACTCGACATTAACATAATAAAACTCGAGTAGAACTCTAGTACTTGATGACATCATAGGATCTAAAGATACAAAAATAAATAAATAAAACAGCAAAAATGGTCATTATTTACTAAAAAAGACCAACAAAAAATTGGGAGCATATATTATGCTCCTACCATTTATCATATTGCAAATAAGTCACATGAAAAACTGAACTGTTAGTTTTTATTATTAAGCTGCAAACGTGAAGAAACGTGCAGCACGTCAAAAACGAAACTAAAAACAGTGGCGGGGGGGCAGGGGGGGGGTCGACCACCCTGCACCACCGCCAGCTGTGGTGCGCATTAAGTTTAGTTTTACAGATTAATATGTTTATAGATTTTTTTTACAGGTTTAGAGATTAATATATTTGGCTTTTTGTTTGTGAAACAAGGTCAGAGAAAGCTGGTTCTGGTTCGGTCGATTGGACCCGGTGTTACACCATATTCAGACCTGCAACAGTGCATGCAACACCGCCCCCTACGGTCACAAAATATGGTGTAACACCGGTTCGCAACATGCTCCAAACAGTCAGGAAGTTTATTCATTTTCTGTTTGCTTACGGTAGTTGAACCAGAAGATTAATCTTTAGTGAAATATTTCCAGACTATTGATGTATTTCTACCTGTGTGCCAAGACTGGGTCTGCTCTGCTCCATCCGTCTGCTTGGAGGAATCCATTTTGTAACCCCCACCCAGTGCGGATCACATGACACGTGACGTGATGACGTAACGGTGGCGTAATGACGTCACCACTAGGGCATTAACAGAGTACTCGAGTAATCTACACATCGATTGCTAGGACATCTATCGAGGTTGAAAATGTTACGTCGAGTATCCGTAGTGACGTCATATTATGTGACCACCGTATGACCGTAGGGGGCGGTGTTGCACTGTTGCAGGTCACAGAGTGTGGTGTAACACCGGGTCCAATCCACCAGAACCAGTTTCGGTTTAAGTTTTGTTTTTGACGTGCTGCATGTTTTTTCACGTTTGCAGTTTAATAATAACAACAACTAATAGTTTAGTTTTTCCTGTGACTTATTTGCAGTATGATAAATGGTGGGAGCATAATATACGCTCCCAATGTTTTGTTGGTCTTTTTTTTTTGTTGTAAATAATTACCTTTTTTTGCGGTTTTATTTATTTATTTATTTTTGTATCTTGAGATCTATGACGTCATCAAATACTCGAGTTCTACTCGGTTTTTATTATGTTAATGTCGAGTTTAAAACTTATATACTCGTTCAACCCCTAGTCACCACGAATACTCGACATGAAATTAAAAACCTTGATAGGTGTCCTAGAAATCGACGTGTAGATTACTCGAGTAGTCTGTTAAAGCCCTAATTCCAATCACCTTCCTAGGTCTCTGTGCTCCTTGTGTTTTTGCTACCTGTCAAGATTTTGTCCCTACTGCTATCCACCTT